GGAGTCCTGCTCAAAGTCCCGTCTGCTAGGAAAGGTAGCTAACACTCAGAATATGTGATGATCTAACTTGCAGATAAAGAGTGTGAATGAATAAATGTAACGATCTAACCTGCAGATAATGTATTTTAGAAAAACGATATGAAAACGAATAACACGCACATTGATAAAAAGTAACAGATAGATCAGATAAGATAAGAAGATAGATAGACTAGACGTGAAGCACATACACATACAGTAATACCCAAAAGACGAACAAAGGAGCAAAGGAAAGGAATGTGACTGACGCACAGAAAATGACTAATCAGAATAAAGAAGAGGAGGAAGACGTCGATAGCGACGATGTGCACTATCTATCGTAGCTATCATCTCCCACCGTACGAAAGACTAGTCATCCGTGTTAATTGAACGCGTCCGTGAGGGCTGTTCCGAACCCGTAGACAATCTAGCGCTAGAAGGACGGGACAGAATTTCGATAAATAGGATACTTTTGGACCAGATACACAAAAAATAAAATAAAACAAGAATGAAGTTCATTGGCTGTTGATATTGTTGTTTACTATTGTTGTTCATCATTTTCTTGTTCTTCCACTTCGTCACCTGGTAATTGTTGTTTCCAATTCTGTAACTCTTCTTCACTGAATGGAGATTCCCCCAGTTTCTCCTTTGCACATTCTGTTTCATCTTTATTTTTAAATTTAATTATCCATTTACGATTTTGTGGATATAGATTTCGATGCTGCTGAATTTTGTGATATTTTAGAACAGCATTCAATAATCCAATTGTCCACCCTTTTGCAATTTCGTACTCCAGTGTATTTTTACTTACCAATTTCTTTGCTCTTTTTGTTCTTTTTCTAGTTTTTATTATTCTTTGTTGTGGTGTCATTTGTTTTTTTCGTTCAATTCTTTTTAACTTTATTGCTCCTTTTTTATTTTCCGCATCAAACTCATTAGAGGAAACAATAATGTCAGTGAAATCATCAAATTCATTTGTATTTGGCGATGGATCTAGTTGCTTTTTTTCCTCCTCTCCGTCTTCTTCCACGTTAGTAGTACGCGCCGTTTCCGACTGTTCTGAACGAGGAGTACTTGGAGAAGGAGGAGTTTTATCAACTATTGTAGCGGAACATTCATTTGCTGTTAGAAATAATCGACCAGACAATTTTCACGACCTTTGATGTGTATAACTTGTTCAATGTCATACTCTTGGATTAAATTTGCAATTCTATCTACTCTTACATTTTTCACATTTTTATTCATCATTTCACAAAGTGGGCAATG